CCACCATGTGTTACATTGTGGGCACAGCCTATCTGGGTGTCACAAGACCCCCACATGAGCAGAGACTCTCTTATCAGGCAGTGTAGTCAGGGGCTTAGAGGTAACCTCCCAGAAGGTGAGAACAAAGGCCAGGCCTCTCTCTGGGCTGGGCTGATCCTCCACCACACAGTAGCATCATTTCCTTTAGTCTCCATGCAGTCCTCAGGGTTGGTCCTGGGTACTGTGGTCATCTCTGTTTTACAGGTGAAGAAACTGAGGTTAGAGAAGTCAAGCAGCTTGCCTGAGGTTGCACAGCCAGTTTAGGGGCAGCAGGAGGATTAGAACCCCTGACTTATGACTCTAAATTCCCCACTCCTGACTCTTGCTGTCCACCTAGCCCAGCACCCCACTCCCATCTCCACAGCTGTTCCACCTGGATAGCTTTCTGTGGACATTGCATGGCCTCTGCATGACCCAGCATTCTGTGTCTCCAGGACCCCAAACCAGAAAGTTCCCAGGATGCTCTCAGCTCCTCCAGAGGAATGAGTGGTTCTCAGGCTTCTGTGTGCCTGAGAATCGCCAGCAGAACCCATTGGCCAGGGTGGCTTCTTGGGCTCCACACTCACGTGTACATGAGAGCCAAGGACAGGGGTGGCCACAGGAGCCCCATCAAGGGCCATGATCTGGAGAGCTCCCCATGACAAATTCTAGGCATCCACCACTCTGATCTAGGACCCAGAGTGAGACCACATGCCATCCAAGCTCTATCTGAATGGACCCCAGAGGGGCAGTAACTTGCTCAGGGTCCACAGCCAGGCTTGTGGCTGGAGACACCCAGGGACCTAGTCTTGTGCCAAGCCCCCATCCCCACACCTCAGCACTCCCATCTCCTGACCTCCTTTTTTTTTTTTGTCCTTTTTGAGACTGGCCGCACCGCGCTCCGCCAGTGAGCGCCGTGAGCGCACCGCTGACCTCCTTTTTTAGGGAACATTTCCCAGTCAGTCAGAGCAGAGGCAGGCGGGTTGCTCCTTCTAATCCATCCATCTGATCATTTGCTTAGCCTTCTCTGAGGGATATCATAAGATAGGTGCCGGGGGAATTGGAGCCCTGCTTCCTACACTGTGCTGCTGCTGGT